ATTGCAAAGAAGGTACTCAAATAGAAGAAGACAGGAAGAACAAACAGGAGGTGTGGAAAGGAAAAATAGAAGAACAGAAGAGGGGGGAGGTAAGAGGTAAGTAATTAGACAATTAAAGATACAGACACAGAGTGACTGAAAATGAATGCACAGAGAAGAGCAGACAGAGAGGTGGGGGAGGGAGAAGTCAGAGTACAAATTGAGTAGAGAAATGTTGAAGGGACAAAGAGAGAGACAGGCAAAGAGTGATAGTGTGGGACAATATAAACTATACCAGTACCAACAGTCAATACTAATAGCCAGGGTGGTTAAGAAAAGACTTACTAATTGGAGATTGGGGAAAAGTAAAGTAGAAAGGGAAAGGATGAGGGGAAGGAAGAGAAGGGAAAGCGGGTAAAATAGAGGGGAGGAGGGGAAAGAGACACAGAAACTTAAAAGTATATCAAGAGAAATATTTAAGTGCTGTATATTCATCCAGAATGAGATGATCTGACAATAAGAAAATCTGTCATATAAGTCTTAAACAATATGAAGAATTTGGGTTAGTACAAAGCAGCACAAAGTGCATGCCATAAATAATCAAAAACAGATTTAAGAAAGTATGATGTATTTTAAAAAGACAGGAACCAATACAGCCAGGGTGTAGATTTTGTCAAGTGAAACAATGAAAGGTGAGGTAGGAAATATATTTTCAGAGAACAGTGAAAGATTATGTAGAGCTTAATTGGTAAAAAAAAAAAAAAAAAAAAAAATCATATTTGCCTTTCAAAGAAGATTAGAACAAAATGTCTACCGAGGGGAGTAACATTATGCAAGTTATTTTTAGGTTAAGAAATCTAGAGGAAAATAATGCCTAAGGTTATTGGCAAGTAAAATATCCAGAACAGAAGTGATCTGGGCATGTTTAAAAAACTACCTATTGTTAAGAAAAAAATAAACTTCAAAGAAGGCAAAAGATAAAACCTTGAAAAAACTCATCAAAAAGCATCAAGGGCTTGAGGCTTTAACATTACTTAGGACCTACTTATTCTACTCCCACTTATATTCCCGAAACAGTGCTTTTCTACAAATTAAGGATAATACAGTTGATACATCTTGGAATCAGCTTATTGGGCCATCATCAGCATTTTTAAATGAAAATGGAAAATGTAAGAGTGGATCATTATTTAGGTAAGTCTAAGGAGAGTAAATATTGTCTTATGAAACCACTGTTTCTGGTGAGTGTGATGAGAGGTAGGCCTGTGAGTGTATGTACATACAGACCTGGTCATAATAAATTTCTTACTGAGTCATAATTACAATAAGTTTGAAAATCACAACTCTATGAAAACCTTTGCCTTTACACAAATGAATTATTCACAGTCCTCACATGTACATATAACAAAAAGAATCTTAGAAACAAAACAATTGACAGATGAAAAAATCAGTAACCGTATGGACACTATGTCATTCTCACAAATTCTGAAAACAGGCAAAATTAGATGGTATATTTAGGAACCCATATTTTAACTTTTTAAAGATGGCAACAGTAGACACAAAACTCAAAATGGTGATTGTGTTTAGAATGAGGAGGTAAAGGTCAGACAGGATAAACCACACAGCATGTTCCTTCAGGGAAGACAGTCACAATTCTTCCTCCAAAAAAAAAAAAAAACAAACTTAATAGCTTTTATGTTATACAAATTATTTTGGATATAATTAATTCTTCCATTTAAAAGCTGTATTTATATCAAACATAAAGTGATTGGGTCTGACCTTGCATTGATGCTAAGGATGATAGCAAAAAGATAACTAAAGCTATTACAAATGAAAATAGTCATTGAGCACATAATTATTTTCGGGAATTTCACTCATTAACTCTTAACTTGAACTACACATATAACATCTATAATTTCAACATTAGATATTGGTAGTTAAGGAATTGTAAGAAACTTTGCTGAGTATATACAACTAAAAATTGAAACCCATGATTGAATTCTGTCTCCCATGATCTCTTATTTACACAAATGGACTGGTAACTGGATATAAATGTTAAGTCATAAATGCTCAAAAACCTCAAAGGTATTTGAGAGATCTCCTACAAATGTCTTTATTTTATAGATAGGAAATTCAAAGAGACTAGCTAATTGACTCTAAATACCCCATGACTTCAACAGTTCTCCAGCTTTTTGGTCTCAGTATCCTTTTACACTCTTAAAAAAGTACTGAGGCCCCCCAAAAAACCTTTTATTTATATAAGGCATATCTATTACTACTACTCATATTAAAAATTTAAAATATTCTATAAATTGATTTCAGAATAACAAACCCATTGTATGTTAATATAAATAACATTCTGTGAAAAATGACATTTTCAAAAAAAAAAAAACAACAAAAATGAGAAGAGTACTATTTTTTCACATTTTTACAGGTCACTTTAAATCTCACTTAGAAGATGGTTGCATTCTAATATATGCTCTACTAGTTAATCTGTCACATTAGTTGTTTCAGTTGACACATTTGAAAAAAAAATCCATTTTCAAACAGACATGTGGATGGGAAGCATAGACTTTACTCTCTGAAAAGTTGTTCTGGGTTCCCAAAAGTCTCTAGACTGCAGTTCAGTAATTACTATGCTAAAGGTTATATTCCTCTGCACATCATTCCTAGGACTTGAGCAAACTAAAGTGAATTAACATACAATATTTATAAACTTTGAAAAATCTAATTTATACTGACATTTCCCTAACTTTCCTCCACATACCCAATCCAAATGAGTATAAGCCCACATTCAACTCTGTTTTTCTCATGATCTTTTGTAAAGGGGAAAAGATAGATATACACTGTAGTTGAATAAAACTTTATTTAGACACATGTCAGGTCACATTTGGCCCTCAGGCCCTAGGTGTCTGAACACTGCCTTGGACTAAATTGGTCAGTTCCAATATGTTGTGAGTAAAATAGGCCATTTTATAAAATACCATCTTTTTCCAATTTACCAAATTCGTTGGATAATTGTTCCAATCTAAGATATTACTGTAAATCCTGAAGATAATAAGGCACCTTCCTCTCAATCTTACTTTCAAGTAACTCAGTTATTCTAACACCTAAAAATATTATTTAAGGAATAACTATATAGTCAAACCGAAAAATATTCCAAATAACCTTGATAGTCATTAATAGAACAACTGAAGTTATACCCAATAATCATTTCTGTTCTTCATCCCCACTAGTCAATTTATATTAATAATTTTAATTTTAAAATTATATTTCATTGATGTATATAGTGTTCTGTAACAAGACACAAGAAGTTATACCATAAATGGAACATATTTTACTAGATTACTTGAAATATAAAATTTCCTTAGAAGACAAAAAAAGTTATAAAACTAAATAAGCCACATGTTGGCAGAAGATAATCATAAACAATATGATTGGCATGGGCCTCCCTGGTGGCACAAGGGGTTAAGCACAGCACTTTGAAGCTATCCGCAGCCTCTGCAGCAGAAGGCACCAACATGGCGCAGCAGGCCTCTCCTGTCTTGTCCACTGCTCCCCTCTGCAGTGTATTTCAGTCAGTCTGCCTGTTCTGCTCCCCACTCTGTCTCTGGTGAATCCTCTCACCAACCTTCCACCCTCTGCACCTCTGGCCTATACCCCAGTTCTTGCATGCATAAATAAATCTTAAAAAATATATATGATTAGCAAAGAATTAAGACTATAAACTCGCACAAAACAAGAAAATGCAAATTTCATGGCATTTAAAGTTCACCAAATTTGTTAATTTTTAAAACAGCAGTAATATCAATTGATGAGGTAATATGAAGTGATGAGAACTAATACATTAATAGGCAGAATGTAAAATGATATAACACTTTGGAAATGAATTTCAATTATCTTTTAGACTTCAACATCTGCATCTTAAGAGTCGGCAATTCCATTTCTAAGAATAGTCACAGAAAAGGTTCCAAATACATATGAAACTCAAAATATATCAAAAATTTCCTCAACTGGTAAATGTATAAAGTCATAATGTGGAATACAATAAAATTAAGAAAATAAATACAACTACACTTGGGTCAATCTGGATGAACTTCAAGTAATTATAAGTTAAAAATGCAACTAACGGGAAAATGCATTTAATGTTATTTATGTTAAACATAAATAAATATGAAAATAAAATTCTTTATATATATTTATTTGTATATACCATATATTTTTATAATGTTAGATTATCTATAACACAATTTATATATCACCTTATAAACGTTATACTTTGTTATACTTTATATATATATATATATATATACACTTATCTATATTAAAAGTATACAGAAGACACTGCAATAATCACAACCCCAAATTCAGGTTAGTTGGGGAAAGGGACAGACAATGGTGGACAAAGAAATTGGCATGGGGAACCTAGTTTCATGAACAGTGATAGGTACACTGTCTTTTATTCCTTTTTACATGTTTTTTCATATTTACATTATTTCTTAAAAAATTTTAAACAAAAGAAATATATAACTTATATCAGCCTCTGTTAAAAAAATAACAAAAAACCAGACTAGTGGATTCTTCCAAACCAATTCATTGAGTGGCTGTAACATGAGAAACATCTTCAGCCAAAGCTTCGCTGTTTACTCAACCACTTTATAATGCTAAAATAACATCTCATCTTTGAACAAACTGCGCCACCTTGTGTTCAAAAGCTTCAAAACACTATCACCATAGTATGTGTGAACAGGGCTGTTTAAAAATACAAGGTGCTTTAGGCTATGGCATGACATTTCACATCACTAAGCTCATGCACATAAATGAAATACTATTTTGAAAAGCTGCTTAGATCTTAAAGATGCTGTACATAATTTACATTTCTTTTTAGTGATTCCTTGTTTGTTTGTTCACTGTACTTTGAGAACCCGCCTTTTTCCTTGACTCTAAGTATAGAAATTAAATAAGTAAAACTTTTGACTATAAACACTTAAAACACCATAATACACTTTTGTAAAGAAACTTACCTTTGAATGTGTGATTGATAAGGTGTCCACCCACACACGCCAGCCACCCCACTCATATTTGACTGCATGATAGAGGAGGATTCTGAATATGGCATATACCATTTCTGTTATCTTCTGCTCATCTGAATTCTTGGGATTAAAATAACAGAGAGAAAGCATCCACTCTTGCCACACAGAGCACTGTAGCAAGCGCCTAAATATTAAAAGAAGGTACGGAATTACTTAAAAGGTACTGAAAGAATTCTAAAAAGCAAAGATTTAAAACAAAGTAAACAAACAATTTATGCATTCAAAACAATTAAAGGATGTGGTACTGAATGACACAATACTATATTCACTTAGTGAAAAAAAGCATGTGGAAAATTCATTTCACAGGATTTTTTTAAGAATTTTTCTTAGAAAAAAAATGAGATTCAAAGCTAGACTTGAATACAGTAAATGAATGGTTTCTAATCCAACTCACCTTCTGTTTTCCCTACTGTTATTGAAAAGTTTAATCATGTCAGAAAGAAAGGCTCTGCGAACTTCCATGCTCTCTGGACACTGGGGGGAATTTCGAAGTAGTGTCGCAATTACTTTTAGTATTTCTGTAAGACAATTCATAAATAAGTACAAACCAAACCCAACATAAAATTAATGATGGAATGTCATCAATATATTGTAATTTCATTAGTTCCCCTGACACATCTACTGTCAACATCATCTATGGTGTTTTAAAAAAAAAAAATCTGTAGAAAATTAATGACAATATATGCATTAGAAAGTATCTGTAAACAAGAAAGACATTATTATATTTCAAAAGGTTAAAGCAAATCCATAAAGTTATAAATGAAGTAAATGATGGTTAAACTACTGCACCCACAGTCTTCATCAAGTCCACTGGCCCTTCTGCCTATATGCTGCCTCTCTCCCTCCTAGATAAACTAAATTCTAGAGTTATATTTCTATGGTGTGATTTGGCTTTGGATTGTATGGCCCTTTACTTTGTTTCTCTATATTCCACATAAAATGAACCATGCATTATTTATCTTTCTCTTTCTGGCTTATTTCACTTAGAATTATTTGCTCCAGTTCCATTCATGCTGTTACAAATGACAAGAATTTGTTTATTTTTATAGCTGAGCAGTACTCCATTATATACATATATATTTAATTGACTCATCTGTGATTAGGCACATAGGATCTTTCTATAACTTGGCTAGTGTAAATAATGCTTCAATAAACACAGTAGAGCATACGTCACTTGTATCACTTGGACTTGCATTTCTGCATTGCCTTCCATTTCTCTTCAATTCTTTATTATGGCAATTTTGAACTCATAGGAAGATAAAATCTTCTCTTCCTGGTTGGGTTCTGGGGAGTTGTTTTCTCTTTCTGTTGTCCTATTCTCTTGCGATCCCAAGTTGCATGTGTAGTGTTTTTTGGTCTAACCATGGTACTTTAAATCCTAGGGATCTCAACTGTTTTCAACCTTTCTAGCAGGTGGGGTAGTAGTTTTTATATGGTTTTGGATGTGTGGTTTTCCAAATTTCTATAGGTCTGGAGACCTGATCTCACAGTTGCTGAATCAGAGAGGTGGGGAAAGGCCTGAAGGGGTGAAGTCACTGCCATGAATGCCATGGGATGGGGGAGGGGATAGTGGGAAGGTAACAGGTTCATTTTTGTGCCACTGCTAATAACCCCCCTCTCTAGGGTTCCAGTCCCAAGATTCTGGTGGCAGTGTGCTTCACAAGGTCAGAGCCATGCTGAAGGGTAAGGAATAGGAAGGGCAGCCCATTAGACTGACTCTATTCTTTTCACTTGGGGACCCAGCCCCATTGGGAGCACCCCAGTTCTTCTTCACATATTTCCCTCATCAAGGCTATGTGCATCCACTCCATTCACCTCTTCCCTCCCAGGCTAGCTGGGTGTGTGGCTGGCCAATAGGCAACACCAGTTTGTAATGCAGCCTCTAGGCACAGCTCACAGCCTCCAGGCGTCTCTCTCCCAAACCTCTTGTTCTATGAAGCAAAAATATCCTCTGTGTCCCTTTTGGTACACTATGCCTGTTGTCTGATGTTCAACAGCTGTTTAAGTTTCACCCGAAGCCATGGGATTCTCTCTGGGTACAGTACTCCCCTGCTTAATCTAGATGATCCTCTGGGGAGTGAAGCACAGTACCTCTTTCAATGACATCTTGGATCTCTGTTATGTAGCCTACGCTTTAAATCATCATGCTCTATCTACTTCCTAACTTTTTGCAGCCAGTACATTACGTAGGTAATACAATATATTCTAAAATTCTTATAGCAGTAAATCATCTTCCCATAACCACATAAGCTATATATGTATTTACATATATAAATATACCTTGAATTTTATAAATTAATTCAAGATTTCTCCTTTTTTAACTGTCAAAAATAATGGCATCATGTCTCTTGAAAGATTAAGAAAAAATAAATTTCAGAGACATGTGTTTTTCAAACTCATACTAAAATAGAGTACCATAAACTCAAATGACCACAGGAAAAAAAATAATAAATTGTAAAACTCTACAAACCAGTTATCTTAATGTTAATCTTTAAGAGAAAGATAATAATGTACTGTACACAAGTGCTTAAAAATTCTATTGAAAGAAAAAACTGTTAAACAAGACTATGTTCATAAATAAAGACAACTGATATTTTTAAATCCAAACAGAGTATCCTTAAATTGACAGTAATTTAATTCAAGAGGAAAGCTACCTCCATGGTTCATGTAATTTAACCTGACATAACTAAATAGTGTAACCAAAACTTTACTGAAAATCTGACTATACATTAAATCAAATTCTTATGCATAAAATTCTTTAAAAGCTTTATATAAACGCTTACACATAACCTAAAGTCCATTCAAACATGAAGTGAACATCAAACATAAGTATAACTAGTACTATATCACTGTCTAAGTTTTCAACAATATCATTATTGGGTTTTACACAGGAACTTTCTTCTTAGTAGCAAAAGGTTCTTATGAAAAGTTTTTTTTTTTAAATAGGTGTGAAAGAAATAAATGAAGCTTCTCAAAGAGTACAAACTTGCAGTCATAAAATGAACAAGTTCTGGGTGGGCATATTGTGTCCACAGATAATAATACCACATTATTTAATTATAAGATGCTAATTACAAGTTTAGGAGAGATCTTAAAAGTTCTCACCATCCACACAAACACACACAAAATCATAACTATGAAGTGATGAATGTTAATAACCTTATTACTGCGATCTTCCAAAAGACACATATCAGATCATTACGTTGTACACCTTAAACATACACAATGTCATGTCAATTGTATCTCAATTTAAAACTGGATACACACACACACACACACACATATATATATATATAAAATACATACGAGGATTTTGTATCTTTACTGAAGAATCAGGATCTGGATGCTGTTTATGTATCACTTGAGTACAAATCTGTTCTATAAGAATCTATAGAAGTAAAACAACATATTGTCAATAAATATCTACTGTATTGTACAACTATTTTTTACTTAATTATAAACTGAAATATCAAATAGTCAATACAAAGGAAGAAATACTTAGAGATGTCCATATTGTTCAATAATTCAAAAATTAAAATGTCACATCTCTTTTACATAAGAAATTTGGAAACAATGTATAAATCTAAATGATATATTTTACTTGCACACTATCAAGTCAATTATAGGGGCATTTTATAATAATAAATAAAATAAAATTCTAGTTATATTCCTACCTCAAACAGCACATTATATGTGGTCATTGTGATTAAATTTGTCTGAAGCATGAGTCTTTCAGCTAGCAATGAAAACAATCCATGCCCAAGCATGACTTCAGTTTTTCTTCTACAATTACATAGGAGGAAATAATCAAATACAGAGTTTTATTATCTACTATTCAGTACTCATGTTGGATGAAGAAAACACAAAAATGGTGTGTGACACATTACCAACAAATTCCAACTCAATAAGGCTCCCATTCCCTTCCATTTAGAACTTTTAAAGCCATACAACCTTTGAAAAATACTAACTACAATATGAGAACAGTTAAAGTTTTAAAAAATAAAACAGAAAAAAAAAAAGACTGTCCATACAACATACTAAAAATCTCTACCAAAATCTTCAGAGTAATAATTTATCAACTAGTTGCCACTATTCATCAGCACAGCACTAGAATTCTACTAGGCTAAAAATTAACTAAAATCTAATAAATAGTTATGCAGAAAAACAATGTGAATGAAAAGGTAGCAGAAATGTAAAAGAAATCAAGAAAAGGAACACTGCCGTGATAAACTTAACAAAATTAACCTTCAATGAAAGAATTAAACTGAAGGGTCACCAATATTAATTCTACCTGTGTTTGTATTTATTTTCTGCAGATAGCTGGACACTAAATACCTTAGCAATTGTGAACCAAAGGGTTTCTGCAGCAACAAGCCAAGACTTCTGTTGTTACATGAAAGCAATCATAGTAAATAAGCAAATAATTGCTACTATGATTCAATGAAACTTTGTTTATAAGCATCAAGTTGGATGCAACATGAAGACCACAATTTACCAACACGTTTATAACCCACGATTGTTGGATTTTTTAAATAAAATAACCCTAATACAAGAAACAATAGGATGAGAATGTCCAGAGTCAGCGAAGAAAAAAATCACAGGAGTTTTAGGATTTTAATTATACCTTAACTTACATATAAAGCAGTATACATTATGTGACAAACATCTAGGTGAGTATGTCAGCTTTATAGTACAGATAAAGTAAATGATAATCTAGCCACCAGAAATAAAGTCTCAATTCATTCAATTGATCCAAAAGAATTTTCATAATGTACAGAAAACAAATTGGAAATTTTAACTTTCATATAAAACAAACCATATTCTCTTCCTAACTTTTTACAATGTGGAAATGGGGTTAAATTTATATAGATTGGGGCATGGGGGGAAGCAAAGGTGACAGCGACTAGAAGAACCATAGATCACCAATTCTATTCCAAAGATTTGTAAATAAAACTGTACTATACAAAAGTCTATTTTAGTTTTCATTCATACTTACTCTGGGGCCAGGTGTTTTAAAAAATAGCCCATTGCCTTGAGAGCTTGTACTCTGATTCCTTCGCTTGTCGATGCCAAAAGTTTATAGATAACACTGAATGAATAAAAATTGTGAACAAATTACTCTGAGTATATTCACTAAGGCACACCAAATTAGTTTATGTACTGAACTTAACCACTAAATTTTTTATAATTTTTTGACCAAAAGTTAGTAACTATTTAATACAAAATGTATTTCTCACATTGGAGGTGAAAAAATTCTGTAGTGCTTCCATGACATTTATACACTTATCTAAAAATTATTAATACATGTATATTTCTCTATTTGAAAATAGAAAAAATACAAAGATAATGAAAGTAACTTATAAAAAGTTAAAAATAGAAAATATAATTTGGATATATTTTCATGAAATGTTTAACTGTGATAACACATATAAAGAAATGTTATGGACATTGTCCATAAATATATTTTTATTGGAATGCACTAAGACATGTACACTATAACATTTTTAATGAAGAAATTATTAATCAGATAATACAAACATCGAAGGCATAATGTGAAGAGCAATAGATTATTTCAATGTGTTCACAGATATTAAAATATATGAATTAAAGTTCATTAGACACCAAACATTAAAAATTTAGAACAATTTCATCAGAGCACGATAGAATTAATACTGAATCAGAAAATATATTCATTTCTAAGATAAGCATTTGAAGATATCAGAGATACTATTTAAATGATTTAATGGCAGGGAATTATTTATATTTAACAAATGTCAAAATTTGATGGAAATTAAACTATCACTTAAAATTTGGTGTCAATTATGTTGTTACTTATAATTTGGAAAGCTCCTGACTACTATGATGTAGTTTGGCATTCCTATGTTACCTTACACCAGTAAAGACTATTCTCTCTCAAATTTTATCTAATTTTTTTATTTGAAATTATATCATTTCACTTTCAGAAACATACAAACTTCACTATATCCACCTTTGTTCTTTTCATGTTGATCTTTAAAAATGATAAACTGTATATCAGGAGCCAACATAATCATAAACAGATAATGAAATTACGTAACAATACTCCATGAATTCTCTCTTTAAATCGGGGGGAAAAATACAATTTAAAAAATCTCACACTATACTTTTGGACCTAAGAAATGCTTCTGCAGAATTCCAGTTAGGTTAAAGACCTCTTTCACCAGACACCTAATTGGCAAACACCTTGATATTGGGCTTCCAGTCTAGAAGTGTGAGAAAATAAATTTCTCTTGTTCAAGGGTCACCCTTGTCTATGGTATTTTGTTATGGTAGCCTGAGTTGACTAATATAATAATGATCTGAAACTGGGAGTGAAGGAAGTAATATTTTAAAGGGAGGATAAAATCATGTCTTGGATCACAATTGAGTAATAGTTATAAAAACTAAAGAAGGCAACCTTACAATAGCTTTATAACAGCACTAACCACCTAAAAATACTGGAATGATTTGCCTGTCCTCAAAAATTAAACAGTAACACAGCCTCTATAATTAAAAATTTATTGAAAAATATGTAACAAATGAAATAAAGGAATCTTACATCTTATTTCATCCTACAAACTCATTTCATAATATATAATCTAGTAATAACTTTTCACATATAAGAATCTTTCCATCATTTCCAAACTAACCTCTCATACTAAAACTCTTGATATATTAAGCTCTTACCGTAACCCATTCCTTTGGTCAAAAGCAGGAATCATAGAGTTAGGATGTTCTGACATTAACGCAACAAGCAACTGTAGGACATCCATTAGATTGTCATCCTGAAATCATTTTAGATACTCATTTAAAAAAAAAAAACTTAGTTGAACACTGAATACTTTTGACATAGACATTTAAACATTAAAAATTAAGTAGACATATTTAATTTATACTTGTTTTTAATAAATTCCTTCATACATATACATATTGATCTGTATAATTCAAAGCAACATCAAATAGTCAAATACTTTCTTAATCAAAGAAGTAAAATGCCTCTTATGATAATGGACCAAGATTCCTAAAACACCTTCTTTAAATATATCCTAAAACACCTTCTTTAAATAAATCTAAAAAAAAAAAAAAAATTTGAGAGGAATTTTTTTTTTTTTTTTTTAGATTTATTTATTTATACAAGCAGTGGGTACAGTCAGAAGCGCGGGAGGGTGAGAGAATTCACCAGAGCCAGAGCAGGGAGCAGAGCAGGCAGAAGGACCAAAGTACACTGCTGAGGGGAGCAGCGGGCGGCAGGAGGGGTCTGCGCGCCATGTGGGACCCTCCTCTGGTGTCCGGGGAGCAGCCAGGGATTGAACCAGCACTGCAGAGGCTGCAGGCAGCTTCGCAACCCAGCACTCAAAGGCTGTGCCACCAGGGAGGCCCAGAATTTTTTTTTTTTTTTTTTTTTTTTTTACGTAAAGTTTACACATCAAGAAATTGGGAGAAAGGGGCAAAGATGTTCTTTCCTAACACAGCAAAACATGTTAAACTCATTAATATGCTAACAGATGTGAATCTGGTGGTGTGTTGAGGACAACATATTATACATATCATTTACTTATTCAACCTGAATCACTTTGTTCGCTGACTTTTCCAAGAAATTGGTTTTAAAAGAAGACTTTTTGGTAATAATAACTAGATAATTCTTATCAAGTCATTGTCCGCACAAAGTATACAGATGACAATAATGTTTATTAAGTCAACATATCACTGCATGTGGTATAACTTGATAACATTTGTAAAACATCAGCATAGAAGCTAATGTAAGTCCTGAGATATAAAAAATTTCCAAGAAAATTTTCCAAGAAAAATTAGTTGAAAAATTAGTTGTGCCAGTATGTATGGGTATCATTGGGACAACCTGGGTAACACTGCCCAAAGAGGAAGGGGAACAGCTATGAGCAGTCAGTTGTTTCAGCTATCCTGCCTCTAGGTTTTCTGATAGCAGCTACTTGAATGTCTAATTCTCAAGTCAGTTCCATCGATGGTCTAGAGCGAGGACTCAGGGCCTTTGGAAATTATTTGCAGGACCTGAGAATCCTGAATTAATAGATATTAAAAAAAAAAACCAGAAGATTATTGTGACTTCCAGTTTCTGTTACGAAATACTTCAGTTCCTTAAGGTTAAAAAAAATAACAAAGATTATTAGGGAATTCAAATAAAAATTTTCAGCTATTACACTGGGTCAGGAAAATCTAAAAGAACAACAACAAAAAACCCTATTCAAAAAGTAAAAGATAAACCAACCATTAAACTGAGTTACGCTGAGATCCAACAAGGAAATTTAATTGATTCCTTTCTACCCCACCTAACAAAGATATATTCAAGTAAAATCACTCATTTATTAATGATTAAAGAAGGGACTACTTTAACAATAGAAGACATTAATTCATAACACATGAAATACAATATATGAATGTAAATTTAAACTGCTCTGAAATGAAAAGAATTTGTAAATTTTATTTAAAACTTATTTAATCAGATTAATTAGATTATATCCAGCATATTACATTTACCCAGTCACAAAAATAAAAGAATATTTTTAACCCATATATTTTTCAACCTTCACTTGACTTTTTATATATTTATTGAACTTACATTTTTCACCTTTTTCTGACATCTTTAACCATATAATTTTAAATTCCATTACAAATCCCATTAACTTTATAATACTTGAACATGCAAAATCAGTAGGAAGACTATGCTACAAATTTTAAAATCCAATCATGTTTAGTCATTTCTGTAATATATTATTCCATTTGTTACAGTGGTTCCTGGAAATACACTGAAATTTTTCTTCAGTATACTTCACTATTAATTCAATGATACCTAATTTTAAGACTCTAAAGCCTCTCATGATTATTCTCAGAGCCATCTTGTAGTAATAAAAGCCATTTAAATAAAGGTTGCTAAGATTTAGATCCTACATACATTTACTCCCCTTATTAGTTATGTCATTAGTGAAAATATTCTCTAATTTTTTACTTTAAAAAAAGTCCACAATGCAGCTCTAAACTAACAAAATCCAAAAATAAAATTCAAATGTTACCTCATGCATAGTGAGTAGATAATTAAGAATGGCCTGTAGTTCATCTTCCTTTACTCCAGAATCCTTTAAAAACATAATACATGTATCTTATACTTGCATACAAAACTATGTTAAAAGGAACTTATGGAGATTTGTAAACTTGATCAGCTGCTATAAATATAAAATGATAATGCAAATTTCAAATAAAAATTTAGGGGAAGCACTAAAGATATGCAATACTCAAGATTTATAAAACTCAAAAGAAAACTGAGATCAGTAATCTATTTTTGGCATCTTAGATGACAGCCTATCTAGTGAAGTTACAGAATCCTGATGTCAAAATTATCTTTCAAAGGATTTTCCAATGAGTATCCCTAGTACAAAGAAAAGAGTAAATAAAGATTGCATTATGTGTGAAATTTTAAGTTATCATACAGAGAATGCTATGGGATAAGAAAGATGAACTCACCTTCATCACTAATTGCTTAATGAACATCAGTAAGAAAGCTCGTAAAGAAAGTATTTCTTTTTGATTAGGTCGTGGTCCATCTTTTAAAAAAAAAAAAAAAACATACACTTACTCTTAGTATTTCAGAGTGCACAAAGCTAACTATAAATTTTTCATTCCCAACAGTTTTTCCATTTATTTATAAGAAACATGAAGGTCAGTCTTCTGAAGAATTGTATGTCTCTGGAAAGACTAACACTCCATCTCCCAATACTCCAAATGTACAAAATAGGTTATGATGAAACCAAAGAAGTTTGCTTTCTGATAGGGTCAAAGGCTATCCAAAACAAAATGTGATTAAAAAAATTTGTATCCAACACTAATATACACTTACATTTTGCTTTAAAAGAGTCTCTCAGGATCTTACTATGGTAACAGAACTTTACAAAGAAAAAAGCAAAAGGAAATCTATAGTTTGTGAAAATCTAAACTTTACATGTGAATTTACTGTGAAAAAAGTTGTTCTCAACTGCAACCATTCTATAAGCTAAAATAAAAATCTCACAAAGCACACCTTAAAATAGTATTTTCATAAAGTAGGGAAACACTATGTTGACTACCTCTGACATCTCCTCTTCTTAAAAAAGTCCTCTGGTCACACATGGCTCACATTAAAGTCAATTTTCATGTCTCAAGCATATAACTCCCAAGTACAAGGCTTTTGAAACCAAACACCCATTGTTCTAAGATCCTAAGTTAGGTACATGTTAGCCTCATATTTTCTGCAATATTTCCCCCCACTAATCACTATTTACAGCTAGTTCCTAGACCACCAAGGCAAAGGACCACCATGACCTTCAACAGATCAATTAAAACAGAAAGAAAATTGTTTAAAATTTGTTCCACATGACAACCTAGACAAAGAGTAAGTTAGAGTTACAATAGAATCACAAAGTTTGTCCAGATCTATTACTTGAAGTGTAAGACTTTCCATAGTCACTAATCAGTTATAAACTCAAAGCCAGAGTATAATACTAACACCTAGGACAGTACATGATATATTAAAGCACCATTGAAATATTTACCAGGAAATTATAATCTATTTCTAGATTTGCTTGAAACCTTGTCAGTTTAAACGAACCATAATTTCTGTGTGTCCTTTACAACTTTCTGATTATAGAAGCATTATCTCTGAGAATCAAGTTTATTTTTAAAGGAATTTTTTTAAGTATGTACAAATATGAAACATCTTTGTGAACCACTGTACAATCAAAACCTTTGAGTACAATCAAAACACATGTGGTCTGACTTTCCATCTATTTCCTAATTTCAAGCAAAAGTTCTCTATTTTTATCAGAGGACTGAATCCAACCCCACTATCGGGTCATGTGTTTCAGAAGTGGGAGGGGGTCTCACATCTGGCCAATCTGAAGCATACCTGCCACACAGATGGGCACAGGCAATCAGAGCCAAGAACATACAAGAGAATTTTGCTAGAAATCCTCAATGCAGACAAATGTCCTTTTGCTGGATTTAAAGTTGTGAGGATAAAAAGTGAAGTAGCTACTTGCTACTGCAAAGGGAGAGAAGACAAGCCAACACGGAAGAAATGAAACAGAGAGATATTGATTTCTGACGCCTAATTCTGAACCTCTACCCCAGGTTCTACTGAAAGCACCAGTTTTTATAAGCTGATTAACTCCCTTTTATGAAGCAAACCACTCTGCATCATATTACCAGGTTTTGAAGTATTTATAATCAAAATAACCACAATTTGTCAAAATTCTTATTTTGACCCATTCTATAAGCCACTAACATGAAAATGAATATTATCCCTCAGAAATGCAGGCCTGACTATACAAGAAAATAATTACTGAAAATCTGTAATTGCATTGTATTATTTATTAGAAGCTAATAATCCTTACTTCTGCAAAAAAGTTCTACCTCCCAAAACACATTGTTTCTTACTGGGACAACTGAACTCAGTATCAATACCACTAGCTAGTGAAGAATTTTTTCTCATTTTCAGTTCTTTAAAACAATCATCTTAGTTATACCTACTTTTCAAACAACTCATGCCAGCACAAGCAGCATTTCCATGAAAGTAGCAAATTATTAATCTCTGGCAACTGCAATTTAGGACCAACTATTAAAATTAACAAAATTAAAATAAAATTTGGCCATGATGAGATTCAAAAAAACTTTCAGAATAATATAACAACATTGGTTAAAACAAAAAAAAAAATCCTGATTTACCACATTGTGACATAATATAAGAATATATACCTAATCCTTTTGGGGTGATACCACTTCGATCCTGAGGATTCACTGCCCAATAGTAGTGCTTCAATGTATGCATGATGAGAAGCACTGTCCCAACTCTCCGAATGGCATTGTAGATGGTGACTGTGCTGATGAATTCCGTGGACAGGTAAGTATAGAGTGTCAACTGAACCTGGAGAATCAAAACGAAAGTAAATTAAAGAAACAGACCAGCATTTTATCGGTTTCCAATACTATCCTCTGGTTACTTTACTTGTAACGCACTTGTTTGAAAAGCATACTGAGCTTGATCATAACACTGTTAACACTATGTTGACATATCCAATGACAAGCATGCATACACACACACACTCTTTATAAAACTAAGCCTACTTAATTACCTAAAAACCTACTAAACTAGGTAATTTCTTCATTTACAGTAACATGTAAAGGAAACATCTCTGATATGTCAAGTTTTTGCAGCATTTTTCTACAGAAATAACTGCCTATTTAGAAATTAGCAATTATTCATGACCATGTATAACTTTTTTATAATAAACTTAATTACTATTCACAGTTTTAAAAAAACAAATTTTTCCTCATTTGGAGTTATATTGGAAGCTACAATTCAAAAGAAGCAGGAGTTACTTCCTCCCCCCAAAAAAATGAAATAAAACCATACAAAATGATGTAAAGTCTACTTTAAGAAATATGTATTAGAAAAATAAATTCTTTTTATCTCATTACTCAAAAAACTGTAGCCATAACATTATAATCTTTGAACATGTTTTTCACTCTTATTCCCCAATTAGGATTCTACTAGTCTTATTTTCAAATTAACAGTTTAAGCAAACATGTAAGAACTTAGTAACTCTAAAATATAATCACTCACTTAAAATTAAAGAAAAAGAAAAAATATAAGTGATACCCCACCAGTTAAAAGTCTTGAAAGGAGAACTGACATTAAGCCTTAATGCTAGATAAGCTACTACTTTATTCTAAAATAATACAAAAACATTACAAATTTGGGGGCTAAGAAATGATCTGCTGAGAGCAATCTGCTGAGAGCAGAAATGATCTGCTGAGAGCAAGAATATATAGGAATTCTGGCAAAAAACAAGGATATGGAAAATTGGAGGACATCTATTGAGAATGATAATGTACTAAAAGAAAAATAAACTGTGATGAAATACACACCACAACATTATTCATATGCTAATTATGAATATAATTTTCCTCATTCAGTGTATAATTTAACAACATCTGTCTTTCCCATTACACCTAAATTCTACAATGACAGGTATTACATCTGTCTTGTTCACCACTGTATCCACAACGCTAGCATAAAGTAGTGACTCAACAAAGGAAGGACTATTGTACACAAAAAAATTCATCTCTCATGTTCCAGTGATACGACACATGTTCAAAAATGATGAGCTGACAATAACATCCAAGTTAACATATAACACATATCCACTGATATGCAGACACGCATCTTATAAAATTAAGATAATTTCCTATTTTATAGTAGCACTATAAATACCTCCAAAATATAAAATGTATCCCAAAAAATATATACCCAAGGTCATTTAAAAGATTCTGAGCAGGGCCTCCCCGGTGGCACAAGGTGTTAAGATGCAACCTATGAAGCTGTCCTCAGCCTCTGCAGCACAAGTTCGATCACCCGGCTGGCCAGGAAGCAACCCACATGGCGCAGCAGACTTCTCCTGTCTCACCCGCTGCTCCCCTCAGCAGTGTACTTCTGTCAATCTGCCTGTTCTGTTCCCCACTCTGTCTCTGGTGAATCCTCTCACCCCCCCACCCCGCACCTCTGGCCTGTGCCCCAGCTCTTGTATGCATAAATAAATAAATCTTTAAAAAAAAAAAAAAAAAGATTCTGAGAAGATCAAGATAAATTATATAAATCACTGAGAGCATATTTTTCCAAAAACAAAGGTTGATTCTTACATCTACACCCTTAACTTCAGTGACCAGTGGCGAATTTACCATGAGGCTAGACTTTATGCCCCTTTATCTATATAGATTCCATGACAGACCTTAAACCTAACTTTCTATACATTATATCATATTCTTTCTCTTAAAAATTTCCTTCTCTCCTGAATTATAGACCTTCAAATTCAATAAACTTTGGATCTGTCCATTGTTATAACTACCTTTATAATAAAATTAGATGCAATCCCTAGCAGTCAAAGCAGACAACTAAAAACAGGGAAATTTAATATTACCAAATCAAATACAAATTACAAAAAAAAGATTTATTAGCAAGTAAGGTAGAAACAAAGTGTAACAATACTAAGAAGCTAAGGAAATAATACAATGAATTTTTTTTTAATATTCCCCACAGTCAAGTATCTAATAGGAGGTTTTGAACACATCAAAAGGGACCCAAAGCCTCACAAAAATGCTACTCAGTCAGACAAAGACATGTCTACTAAAGGTTGAAAAAGTAATTTGAAGCAATCCTTAAAAAGAAATAAGACTGAAGGTCATACAAGAGAAAGAGGTCAAATTTGAACTCAAAGATAAAAAGCTACAACCTCCAGCTGCCTCCTTTGATTATTTCCAAATGGCAATCAGAGTCAGCAGCTGTTTTTCTATTCAACATTTGAAAGACCAGCTGAAAATAAGATAGTATGACTCTAGAAAAGCAAAAGAAGATTGCAGAAATTTTTTTCTGACACTAGAGTAGCATGTGTTATTCCAACTTAAACAATGATAAATACTAAAAGTAGACCAAAAGCAAAGGGGGAGAGTGGAAATCAATGAGTTTGAAATAATACTGCTAAAAATAACTGCAGATGAGACAGATTCAATTATGCAACTTAGTAAAAATTTCTCTATTTCCAATTCTGCTTAACACTAACATTATTAATATTTTAGGACATATTAATACATTAGGATTTATCAAAGGTTTATTTGTATGCTTTATTACAAAATAGCATTCATTAGAATTGTTTTTGTTTTGAATATTCAATAAAGTACTAAAGTATTGTGTAAAAATTAATTGTATTTGTTTGAACTGAAGTGAAATTAAAATGATTAAAGGAGATCAGTGTATCATGGAAATCTTCAAAAGAGGGTGACAACTCAGCTATTCCTGGAAGAATTAAACTCAGGAGTTTATAGGTTTGTTTTGAAGATTTATTTATTTATGCATACAAGAACTGGGGTATAAAAAAAAAAAAGAACTGGGGTATAGGCCAAAAAGAGATGCGGGGGGTGGCTAGGGAGTGGGAACAGGAGGAAAGGGGTGAGAGGATTCACCAGAGACAGAGTAGGTAGCAGAACAGGTGGATCTACTGAACTACACTGCTGAGAAGAACAGCAGGTGAGACAGGAGAGGTTTGCTGCGCCACCCACGTGGATCAGCTCCCTGGCAGGGGATCGAATTCATGAAGCAGTGGCTGAAGATAGCTTGACAGCGCTGAGACTTAGCCCCTGCACCAGGGAGGCCCAGGAGTTTATAATTTTAATGGAAATGTGACATGTATAGAGAAGGGGAAAGTGTGGTAAATTAAGGAATGAAAAGCTATATCTATACTTATACGCAAATACACACACGTATACAGAGATATTGGAATATATACAAATACAGCAGCAATAAAATAGAGCTAAAGCTAATAGCAAACATTTTATTTACATTGAAACTGTGCAATTTTGATTTATATTTACTAATTCAAAGCCTCACTCATATAAAATCTTATTGAACAGAAAATAAAAACCATAGTTGTTCTATGGTTCTACACAGCTTTACAAAAAAGAAAGGATATACTGACTTGCAAATAATCCAAAATGAAGTATACTTAAAAACTGCAATCCACTGAAATCTGACATAATGGCAAAAGGATAAAAGAAAATTTTCATATCACTTGTCAATACCAAAATTTAGTAAGACAATAAAATCAACAATATTACCTTGGCTGGTGTATGAATCCATATAGCTGGGTTAAGAAGAATGTGATCACACAATTGCTTGAGCAGAGGCATCCCATTTGGCAGATTACTCAGATATTTTGAAAATGCAAGGCAAAGTTCAAGCACTGCTCTGCTGACATGGGATTTGGAAGACTGGGAAGAAAGGTAGTTCAAAGGTCACTCCCAATACAAGGCAAGGTAAGTAAATCAAAGGCTGTCAATACCAGGAAAAAGTTGAACTAACTATGTTGTAAGTTAAAGATGCCAAGAGACTCAAACTTGACCACATATCTCTAATAAAAGCAATGAAGGCAAAGTAAAACAACAAAAGGTATTTTAATGTATGTGGGGTTAGATAATCAAGGAGGCACATTTGCAGACAAATTTCTCAATCACAAGGAGACCACGTACATATCTGTAAATTATGATTGAAAAATGTAAAGCATTTCATACTTTACCTTTTCAAGACTATATCCTATTACCAAGAAGCCCTTGCAGGCAAGCATCTGCTCCTGCATAGCAACTGAGTTCTTCAACAACTCCATGATAAAAGAGAGCAAAGTTGAACTGGAATAAGACAAACAGCAATGGCTTGAAAAAACATTCTACTTAAAAATAAAAAAGGTTAAATGAAAATCCATCCCCCATTTGTCTTAAAAGTTTTGTTTCTTTTTTTTTTTTTTTTTTTTTGAGTTTGTTCAAATATGCATGTTAGGATGATTTTGCATTTAAAAGTACACTTCCCGTCATTTCTCTTTTGTCATACAGTTTTTACTTTCACATTTCCAATTTTTGTTTGCCAATCAAAATCAAAAGTTGTCTATTTCAAGGGAACTGAAGTTGTGATAAAACTAATTTGAACATTATCTCCGGACTACAATTTTATTATAGGATTAAGATTTACTCCAATATGTCATGTACTTTATCACAAACATTATTACATGAGTAATTAGAACAATATAACAAGCATGCACAAAACAGAGAAAAAATAATGTCCAAAAACAAGTAATAAAATGTTTAACAATAGTATAGAAAGGGATTAAAGGCTGTAACTTAGATCAGCAAGTATATTAATTACAGAGGGCGAGGGACCAGAGGGAAGAGATGTGATGCGAAGCAAACAGACCAGGGTAGAAAGCCTCAAAATGGCTCCAGAGTGTTCTAGTTCGAACAGAAGATTCATGAAAGGAAAAATAAAATTGAAACAAACTGAAGTCATCAAATACTAATTTAAGAATTTTGTTCATTATTCCAAAATTCAACGGTAAGTCATGAAGACTTTTAAAATTAAACAGAAGCTTCCTTCATGCTCATATCCTCACAACTTTCCAGATACTCAAAAATGCAATGGTTAAGGTCAGGTGTTAACTCCTTCTTAGAGACACTAGAGTCCCACAAAGAGAGAAGAGGGGTTAATTATCAGGTAACTTCTTCCTCCACAACTATAACCAATTCCGATAAAGATTTTGAAACTAAAGTTTCCGTTCATAAAGAATTTAATACTATTATTATTGACAGGGACTTATAATATTTATAGTTCACAAATTTCTTTAAATTATAATCACTCTTAACCATACAACAAATTTAAAAACACACAAAAAAATATTGTGGAATGCAATGATGAAAGTAACGATCATACCTACTTAAAGAAAAACACAAAAGTACTTACCATATAGTCAAGTCAACCTCCTCAGATAAATGTTGACTGTAATCCAACTGAGCAAAGAGAGGAAAGAGCACTTGCACTCCTCCAATGGAATGCATTGCACTTTGGATAGAATGTGTTAAAACTGCCTTCACATCCTTATAAAATATAAGAAATAGTAAAGATTACATTTATTATCCAAAACAATTTAAAATAAAGAGTAAGGACAAAATGTTACATGACATGTATTTATTTAATAGACATACCAATGACACCTCAGTAATATATCAAAATTAACATTACAAATATCCTTAAAAGATTGTTACTAGTACCTGGAGCATGAGTGCATGTGGTGAATGAACAAAAATTGAAGGGCTGTCCTTAGGGGAAGATTCCAGGCAGAGCTGGGCATCTGTAGCGCGTGGATTGTACGTGAAAGCAATGGCACTGGAGAGTTTGCCATCATACAATAAAAGTTTATGATGCTCAGCAAGGAACAGGTCACTTTCTGCTTTGAATTTAAATGTACCCTAAGAATTAACAAAAAGTAGAATACTTAAGAAAACATGACACAAAAAGGAAATCTAGATACAAATCACCATAGTTATAAAAATCTAAGGAGACACACCACATGGTATGGTAATTAACTGCTCTTATTACAGCAACTGTTGAAAACTTATCTGTGCTCAGATATGACATCATTAAAAGAAATGAATATGAACTAAAGTTGAAACTTAGTAGTTTATAGTGCCCTGCATATGACAAGTATACTGGGTTTCCCTCAAAAACTTAAAGTACTCTTTAGCCCCCTGATTTCCCTGTGGTAACATTGTTATACAGTTTGATAACCCAAAGTAATGTGCCCCAGTCATCACCCACCTGTAATCAAACTCAGAACTAACACTGATTAAGTAGTGAACAGTAAATAAAGTACCTTGTATCCCAGGCCCAGCTGATAAATGGCAAAAATCTGAGCAGCATTAAGAGCTTCACTAAAAAGGTATACTGCAGTCATCTGACCACAGAATACTCTATTAGCATCTGCTGTTTCTGATGAACCCAGGAAACACTTGTCAAATGTCTGTGAATGAAAATACAGTTTTTTACAGGAAAAAAAAAAAAAACAGCAAATTATCTCCTCCAGTAATAATAACATTTACATTGGTAATTCTAAACCATAAATTTGAATACTTCAAAACAGTTGATTTAGGATTTCTCTTCATTCCCATCTAATGTAGAGATCAGGAAAACCATCATAGAAGAAGAGTTTAAGTTTTCTAAATACAATGAACAAAACTTTATGACAGGGCCTCCCCGGTGGTGCAGCAGTTGAGCGCTGGGTTGCAAAGCTGCCCACAGCCTCTGCAGCGCCGGTTCAATCCCCGGCTGCCAGGTGAGGGTCCCACATGGCATGCAGACTTCTCCTGCCACCCGCTGCTCCCCTCAGCAGTGTACTTCGTCAGTCCGCCTGCTCTGCTCCCCGCTCTGGTGAATTCTCTCACCCTCCCGTGCTTCTGACTGTGCCCAGTACTTGTATAAATAAATTTTTAAAAAAAAAATCTTTAAAAAAAAAAAAAACAAACTTTATGACAAAGTGAATGCAAGAAACAGAATTAGAGAAATCATTCTAGAGATTATGGAGATTGAAATTGGGGCAATTAAAAAACCAGACAGAAAAGCAAGCTTTGGAGCAAGAGGTAAATCATGAGTTAAGTCTGGGTAATAATCGTTTTTTGTGAACTAATATGCATGGAGCTAACATGGATGAAGAAGCAACTGCCAAGAGCATTTGGTAAGTTTGGTGAGAAGTTAAACTATACAGATTTTTGCAGACACCAATATAAAGAAAATGGGTGAGGTCATGAGAGTATATTCAGTCTCTCAGAAGGAATATGTAAATTCAAAGAAGCAGTCAAATGACTTTCTTCTAACATGGAGAAAAACATGTAACAATATCCAGGTTATAGAGATCACACCTTAATAATGTAGGTGTACAATAAAGGGAAAGAAATAAAATTCTTCATATCTGTTTTAAGACGTATTTTATATCATGAAAAAATATTTTCATGTGTATGTGTTAGTATTAGAGAATATAGAAAATGTAACACTTGGGTTCTAAAGACAAACTACCACTAATATGTAGTCTGTTAAAAGCACAGGTAATAACCTGGACTTGCAAACAGCATCTGAAGGGAGAGAGAAAGGAATGAACCCTTTTGAAAGCTGTGGAACCGGATGTTTCTTCCAACAGAATGTCAAAATATAGTTGAACTGTAGGAAACCCAGCTACTGTCCAGAGAACTGCTTGGTATATGTAAGAGGAACTCCCTTCCCATATTGGTCTGAGGAACCAAGAGGAGGGCAGAGGGGAATAAGAATATTTTTTACTTAATTCTAATCTATATATCCCTTTTTGAATCCTGAAAGCATCATGAAATAAGTTCTCTATAACAGCTATAAATTATAGTAAAACACACAAGCATGCATCATCTAAACATTCACAAAAACAATTATATGCCCACAGCAAAACTCCAAAACTTTACTTCATCAATGGACCAGTACCATAAACACTTTCAATATACCCACTTTTATCTGTAAATCCTTATCTCTATCCTATCCAGAATAAGTTTATAAAAAGGACTTAGTAATATCCTACATGACACCTTAACGCAATTTTACTATAATATGCTAACAGTCTAGCCATATCCTGATTATAAAATCCACCATTATGGAATTCTAAAATTCATATTCATGGTCAAACATTTTTCTTATTTTGAAAGTCCACACTTTGCAACTGTCACAATTAAAAAAAAATTTATTTTAAAACTACTTACATCACTAGTGTTCACAAACCATGTTATCTCTCCATAGGAAGCAAGCTCACCATTCACGTAACATCGAAGCTCACTATTCTTCCATCGGTTATAAATGTGCACTATAGTCACCATATACCACTGAAAAAGCAAAAAAAAAATTTAAAAATAGATAATGATCATTCCAATTTATTAACTACATTGATAACAAATAAAATGTAATGGTAAATTACAATTAAATCAAAGAATGAAATAAGACTACTTTTATTAAATTCAGTAATTCAACCTCTGCAACAATATTTATTCAGGGACGTTCTCAACAGATAAAATTTTCTTGTGAAATTATTTTTCCAACTCATTTCTGAACATTTTCAAATATGGACAAAAAATATAAAACATTTAGTATAAACACTATTTCCTACTAACTAAATTCCACAGTTGTTGATATTTTGCATTATTTAGCTACCTACATATGAATGATACATATTTTGACACATTAGTCTAAATTTTAAGATACAAAAGAAAACCTATTATTACTAGTATAAAATAATTGCCACTGCTATTTCTCCTTGTATTTTTCCCTAAAATAACTAAATATATAATCTTTCATTATCCAAATCAGAGAGACTAAAAATTCTCCAGTTATTTACAACTCACTTTCTGAAATACTATAAACAAAGTTATGATTTACCAGATATTAGGTCAGTAACAGTCTGAAGGCTAGCACAGCTTATTAATATGACTCAACATGATCACATACCTTTTGTGGTTTGAAATCAAATTTCACACAGTGCTGGAAGCCTTTTCCTTTTGACTTTATTGATGTTATAATCAAACAGCCTCCAACAAAGTGAGCAGAATAACCAAGACCTTTGCTGGTTCTAAAACTACAAAGAATAAGTTTTCATTTTACCTCTAAACATTTTCATTTTCCAAGTAAGATAATAACACTATGTTTCAGAGATACATACCAATACAGATATGGTTTATCCTTATCCACATTGATGTTATTTACAGGATCCATTCTAAGCCAGGTATGAAATGTAAAACCATTCTGGTAGGGCCATTTGGCTATAGGAGGTAATGCAATAGCCTAAAGGAAAAAACTGAGTTACTGATTCACATGAAAAACTGTATTATTAGACTATGTCATGAAAAAATATAAGTTTCTTCATCTGACGGAGATTTTTAGTAACTTTTTTTCCAAAATACATTATTAATGATGCTAATTTAACCAGACAATAGAAACATTGCCTATGACTTTCTGGTCACACTAATCTTTTTTGATTCATTTCTTACAATGATACATACACAAAGAGATTCCAATTAAAAGTGATAGGTAATAGATAAGGAAAGAAAAAAAAATAACGGGGCCCCCCAGTGGTGCAGTGGGTTGAGTGCAGTGCTGTGAAGCTGTCTGCAGCCTTTGCAGTGCCGGTTCAATCCCCGGCCAGCCAGGGAGAAACCCACATGGCGCGGCAGACCTCTCCTGTCGCGCCCGCTGCTCCCCTTGGCAGTGTCTTTGGTCCGTCTGCCTGTTCTGTTCCCCACTCTGTCTCTGGTGAATTCGCTCACCTGCCTGCGCCTCTGGCCTGGACCCCAGTTTTTGTATAAATAAATAAATCTTTAAAAAAAAAATTTTAAATGCTTGAAGTGTATCTCCTACCAAAAAAACAAAATTAAGGAAAAGCTTAGAATATTATGTTTTTACAAAAAAGCAACTATATAGCTGAAGAGGACCGGTTCACAAAATTTTTTCAGTATTTTCAAAAGTCACTATATGTGATTTTCCATTTGGTTAAAAATTTTATTTAAAATGTCAAAGCAGGGACCTCCCTGGTGGCGCAACAGTTAAATCTCAGTGCTGTCAAGCTATCACCAGCCACGGCTGAGTTTGATCCCCTGACCAGGAAGCTGACCCACATGTGTCAGCAAATCTCTCCTGTCTTGTCCACTGCTCCCCACAGCAGTGTATTTCAGTCAATCCTCCTGTTCTGCTCCCCACTCTGTCTCTGATGACTCCTCAAATACACAGAGACAGAAAAAAAAGTAGCGATTGCCTATGCCTGGGAGGGTAGGGAGAAAAGGGCCATGACTGCTAACAAGGATGCTGAAATGTTCTAAAATTAATGTTGATAATGGCTGCAAACCTCTGTGAATGTACTAAATCATACAACTGTATACTTCAAATGAGTGAACTGTATGCAAGTATATGATAACTCAAACTGTTTAAAAAACATGCTACAAAGAGCTTTTTGATATAATTTACAAGAGTATTTATGTATACATATTCTTTCATATTGTATAAGATATTCCACAAAACATGAAAGACATCATAGAGTCAAATTTATGTAATAACTTCTGAGACTCCAACAGGCTGATTTTAAAGAATAAAGCATTAAGAAAAACTAAAATACTAGTCAGTGTGTATGTATGTTCTCTCTGACCTAAAGAAATGGAATAAACAAGGTGAAAGCTTTGCTAGGGAAAAAAAATTTATCTATAAATACTTTAACTTCCTTTAAAAGCTATGTTTAAGGAATGAGTCACTAAATATATTTAAAACACCTATTCTATTGGGCCATGTCAAAATGAACAGAAACAACAAGTGTCGGCAAAGATGTGGAGAAAAAATAAGCTTCAGATGCTATTTGCTGGAAATGTAGACTAATTCAGTCCCTGTGGAAAAGAGTATGGTGATTTCTCAAATTATTAAAAAGATGTACCACATGATCCAGCAATTCCATGCCTACATATCTACTTGAAGAATGCCAAAACACCAATTTGAAGGGATACAGGCATTCCTAGGTTCACTGCAGAACTATTTACAGCAACTAAACTATGGAAAAGCCTAATTTCCAAAGGACAGATGCGCAGATAAAGATTATGTGGTATATATGCACAACAGAATACTAATCAGCTATAAAAATAAGATGAAACCTGGCCATTTGAGACAACATGAATGGAACTAGAGGGGATTATGCAAAGCAGAAAAAAGTCAGAAGGAGAAAGACAAAAACTGGATGATTTCACTCATATGGAATATAAAAAACAAAGCAAAAGAACAGAAAAAAATAAACCAAACAAGCTCTAGAGATATGACAGAATTGAGGACACCAGAGGTAGAGAGGGTGGGAATAAAGGGGGAGGGGGCCCAATGGACTATGATGGAAGATTATGGGTGGGCTAGAGGGAGGAGAGAAAAGACTTATACTTTAAAATTTCCAAAAGCTGTTAAACTGAACTGCCTCATTTTTGAGATAAACACAAGAGGAATGAACACATTACAATCTCAAAGAATTATAAATAATAAAATCATAACATGCATTTTAAAAGGTTAATCTCATGAGAATATGTTACAGGCAAATGAAATGCTAGCTGTTATGAGCACAAAGTTATTCTGGAAAGCTTTAAAACCTAAAAAGCTTATTAAAGAAAATTATGCAGGAAAAATATGATCAGTGAAACTTTCCATAGAAAACTTGGTGTTGTGGGCAAAACATTCAGATACCACAAATAACCTTTAAAAACCCTCTTTTGTTTCTGCGAGTATTGCCTGGCTATGTAGGATCTATGAAGCAAATAAAACATTATGAGAACCAAAGTGAAAAATGAAGAAAAGATAAGCTCAGAAAAAGGAAAGGCTAGTATATCTTCAGAAAAATGTTTCATTGTAACAGGCAAACCCATCCATAATATTGAAGGTTAAGAAAAAGCTTCTATAAGGAACTTACATACATAAGGTATTTCTATCACATAGGAAACACTAGAGAAATTCCTATCATATACCATCATCTGTATAAAATGATTAATAGCTTATAAGAATACCGTTACTGATATAATACATAAACTCACAAGTCAGGAAAATAAGGCCAGAAAGTTTTAGAGTTATTACCCTTCTATATACTATGTACAAAAGCAAAAGGAATAGGGAAATGTAAGACTAAAAAAAGATATCAAAAAGATATGAGAACGCACAGATAAATTCATAAAATGACATATGTTTAAAAGAATTGGGTTCACATTCCATTGCTGCTCCCAACAGTGAATGGGCAACTTTTTCAACTTCTTTGAACCTCTTATTTCTTCACCTCTAAAATAGGAAAAAGCAGAATGCACAAGTACTTCAAGGATTAAGTTAGGTCTCACAAAGACATTTCTATCTCACACAGAATCTGCCAGGGGATTTACAAAGTTGTACTTTCAGGCAGCAAGGGAAAGAACTCTATGTGATTTCCTCAGTAAGGTTTACTTACTGCAGCACTCTTTCCAGGAAAGTTGAAAAAGGCATCAGGACCATATTTCTGAGGTACGTGCTTTAACACAGACAACAACTTCCCAGCATGTGGAGGCTATGAAAATAATCAATGCATTAACCATGTTATTCAACATAAAACGAAATACCTATTTTCAATATAGTCATATTTTAATATATATACAAGAATCACCAAATAAGCTAAAAAGCATAAGCGATAACCAAAGGAAGTTAAAAACAATGCACTCTATGTGTTTCTGGTAACATATCACAGGACATGTGAGCGTTGATAAACAAAAAGCAATCAGTTGACACTTGAAACTCTACTCCACACTGAAGTAAAAAGAATTCTTTAAAACTGCACACTGGATCGACCCATATGAGCGGTTTCATTTATGTGTGGAATACAAAGAAACAAAGCAAATGAAGATTAAACACTAAACCAAAACAAACCCTGAAAATCTGACTGCAGAGCTGAATCACAGGAGGAAGAGGGTGAGGTGGGAAGCTCAGAGGGAAAGATACTAACAGACTAAGGTGGAAGGTTATTGAGGCTCGGTGGTTGGCTTCGGGTAATAACACACCTCTGAAAAGGTACGACCCTATACTCCATGCACACAGTGTTGTAAACCATCTGTAAACCAACTCCATAAAAATAATAATATTTAAAAACTTGGGCAGAAGAAAGATATGTAAATTAGAAGATATAAACTCCATTGAAGTGAGACTCCATTACAGAGTTGCTTATATGGTACCAAAAAAAAAAAAAAAGTTCTTCCTAGGCCTACTACTGCTGTTCCCTCTCAACTACATAAACCTTACCCATATTTGAGGGCTAATCTTAATGGTCACTTCCTCGGGGCAGTCTTCACTGACCTCTGTGACTGGATCAAATCTTCCTATCATATTTCACTGTGATACATCTCCAGTATATGGCATGCATAAAAGTAGTAACATTACATTGATTGAATTACTGCCTCTTCAGCCCACAAGTCTCCTCTAATACAGGAAACAACCAAAAGCTAAAATGAAAAAGCCTACTTAAAGTTAAAGCAAAAGATAATCAGAGCTATATTATCATTTTAATCAGGTTACAAGCGAATAAAGTACAGGACATTTCTCATTAAAGGTTCAAAACAAGGTCACACTACAAGTGAAATTACTGGTTCGCCTTTACCTTATTTGATAGCTGGTAGGTTACCATTACTAAATGTTAATGTAAAATTTCATTCTTAAGTGATCAAGAAACAGAAACATAGAAAATTAGAGAAAATTAATTTTCAATTAGCTAAACAAAACCTGAATAATATGACTGTCTCTTACTGTTATTAATAACTCATTATTTTTCCCTTTATCCCCTAAAGCTAATCACACTCAACTTCCAATCCCATATGCAACTATATTAATATATTTGATGTTTTTATGTTCCTCTGAAAATGTATTTTTGTGTTTATATTTACCTGACCAAAAAAAAAACATAAAACTAGCTTGAGCGATAAAATTGATCCACAAGTAACTAATCTACCTGCAACAGCCTAACAATGGAAAATGGAAAAAGCACTCATCAAGGAGTTAACAAGGAGTAATTCACTATTTCTCACATTTTTTATGTCTAAAATCACTAATATAAGCAGCAGGAAAATGTGAACTGTGACCCCTGAGAACAAAATCAGCAAGTAAAAAATTGGTAGAGAAACTGACAGACAATGGAATTTTTAAACAAGACATAAAAGCAATCACTATAAGTAACTATTCCAAGGATTTTTTTTTTTTTTTGTAGTTTGGACAGCATTAGTTTATAATAAAGGAAATTATTTACATGATGAAAGATTTCCGATGATACCATGATACCATTTTGTCATTTACTTCACCCTATTTACTTTCCAAGAATATCACTAAACAAGAAATAATCCTTGTCTTCTAGGACTACTTTGGTGCCTCCATATTCATGGAGAAGAACATGTTATCTCCAATTTTCACACTAACTGGTTGAATCTCTCCTCCCTTTAGAGTTCAATCCATCAGCTACTACTGTTTCTTACAATACATTCCCTTGAGATTCTTCTGGGAACATGATGATTCCTTTACTTACAGTTTCAGTCACATGCCTTTCAGCCTTTCAACTAATACTCTAAAGACACTTTCTAAAAGCCTGCCTATTCGGCCATGACTCTGGCAGTAGCAGGTCATTCTCTGTTCTCATCTGCCACTGAAAGGAGAGACCTGCAGTCCAGAGTTCAGCTCTCTGGACACATGAAAGTGGGAAAAGACCATTCTCAAGCATTTAAAGGAAAACATAAAAACATAATGAGGAAAAATGAAAGATAATGAACCAATGTGCCAAAATAAAAAATATCTGAAATCTGAACATTTTAATGGATGTAATTAACACACTGCAGAAGAAAAGATTGGTTACCTTAAAAATATAGCTAAAAAAAGCAATCTGAAATGACTCACAAAGAGAAAAGATTGGAGAAAAACATGAACACATCACAGTGACCTGTGGGCTGACACATGTAGCCGGAACCTCAGAAGTAGGGAGGAGAAAGAAGAAAATGATATTTGAAGAATTATGATCAAGAAGTTTCAAATTTGATTTAAATTATATTATAAACCCAAGATACAAGAAGTCTATTAAGAATCAAAATAAGATACACTGTACAAAGAAAAAACTGCTGAAAATCAACGGTAAAATCTAAAGACAGAACAAGAGCTTCACACTAAGAAGCCAGAGTCTAATCAATTTAACATCATAAATTAGGAGTACATAATTGCAGAGCAGAAAATTCAATATACTTAAACAACTAGATTAACTACCAGCTGGCTGGTCTCTAAATGATACTAAAACAAACCTAGAAATGCAACGAAAATAAGAAAATGTTCGCTAGCTTTCTCTATAGGATAAACAAATGGTAGGAAGAAACAGCTGATAAGGCACTTGGAGTTCAAAATAACTGTGAACACCACTACAATTCATTGCAAAGGACAATAAATTGAATCTAAAGAGGGTAGACACAGTTAATTGCAGAGTTTTTGTTAAATATATTCAACTTTAAAGGCCACAGTGAAACTATTCAGATCAACGTAAAGAGAGGCTAGGTACTGCTACTGAACACTTCTACTTCTCTCTCTGTCCTTAATCTTCCTCTGGTAAGTTTTTGAACATATTTAAAGAAAAACAACTTGAAAAAGGGCCAAATGATTAGCCTTCCTGGAATATGCCTTTGTCTATACTTCTGTCCTGTCATGGCAAAAATAGCTATGGATATTTAAACGCTATTTTAATCTCTCATCAATTTGACATTAACATTCATAATAGCCATTTTTTAAAAGCTACTATTGTGTTTGGGCAGAGAGATCCATTAGACTACCAAAGAGTATTTAGGCTTTTTTACCCATTGTCCTTTATCTCCTTGAAGTTTACTGAAGAATAGCTTTAGTTCTCGAACTGTCAAATTATAGCTAGCCAGCACTCCCAACATGTCAACTAAAAGATCTGGAAACAAAAGAAAAAAATTAAATTAAGTGACTGACATTTTTTGACTATATAGTGGGCTTACTTAAGAGTTTGTATGCTAAATAGTTCTGTAAACTACTATCATATTGTCAACTTTTTCAATTTTCCAAAAAAATTGTCATACCTGCTATCATATTGTCAACTTTCTCAATTTTCCCAAGCACTTTTTCAACAAGGCCTACTTCAGTGCAGACATGAAGATTTCGTATGCTTTTCTTCAGGATGGCAGTAAACATGCTCCAGACTTCTGCTTGGCAAGTAATGTCACATTTTTCCAGTAGGTCCACCATGCAGATGATACTCTCACCTTCTTGAATGATAAAATTCATTTCCAAATCAAACTGCCCTCCTACAAGCTTTCCAAGAAAAAAAGCAAAAAATGATTAAAAAAACATGATGTCTTAGTACTTCTTCAACAGAACTATACCACACCCCTAAACTTTAGATTAGTAATAACTACCCAACACATTCTAAAGAGACACACACATGCTCCAAAATATAAAGCTTTTAAAGAAACCTTCAAGTCACAATAACACAAAGTAAAGCCTAAAATTGAAAATGGAAATATTGTTAAAAGCAAATATGTCATGTAGATCACTACCTACTGTCCTGATTATAAAGATCTAACTTATCCTTGACATATCACAGACAACATCCTCTCACAGAAGGAAGATTTTTAAATTTTAGCAAACCCCAATTGTTTAAAATACTTTTGGAATTACTTTCAAGAACTACTCTTTTTAACTAGATTTTTTAAGAACTCTGAGTAGTAGTTAAGATACATGAATCACATACACTCCTACCCTTCTTCATACTTCCTGGTTTTTCAACAAGCACTCCTAAGCCCAAAAGGTAGGCACGAATAAGAAGAAAACAAACAAAATCTAACAGCTCACAAAAGAATAATGGACATGTTCATGTTTGGGATAGAATTTATCCCAAAAAAGCAAACAAGGTTCAGAACTAGGAAATCAATTAAAACACCTTGCAGCCAGGAACCCATATGTGTCCTCTGTTCGTTCTGCCAAAGATACACACTGGTCTGAGAATGAGAAAATGAACATGAAGCAGTATCTACACTCAGGGTGATAAGAATTCCTGGCGATTCAGTGATAAAGGCATCTGGTTCTTCTAGGAAAGCCCTGGCAGAGATTTTACTGTACAATTTTTTGCCTCATCAGTCACAAGCAGCATAAAAAGATGACAGCTGGATTTCAGCTAAAAGAAACAGCATAATGTGATTGGGTCTATTCTCCCAGCTACATGGTCCTCGCTATGCAGTATACACATGTGGTTCCCAAGTCCACCCCAAAATTCTGTAAACTACTTAAGGACTCTCGTATAGACTTTGTTCTGTTTTGTTTGGGTAATATTATTTATTTGGTGTTTGCTTTTTGTGCTGAAATAATTTCAAACATTGCAAGATAGTACAGGTTTCCTGTATACTCTACTGTAGCCAGTTTCTCCAACTGTGACTATGTTACATAATCATGGCAGTCATTAAAACCAGGGAATTAACACTGATACACTACCATTAATAACTTACTCAGTATGGACACCTGTAATACTAATGTCCTTTTTCTGGTCCAGGATCAGCATTCTCTAGTGTTCTCCAAACTAACACAGTTGTTTGACTTTCATGATTCTGACACTTTTGAGCATATTTGACAGCTATTTTACAGATTGTATTTCCACCTTGATGGTGCTAAGTTTTTAAATTCAGACTATACATTTCATGGCAAAAATACCCAATGTATGCCCTTAGTGTATTATTTCAGATGATGTCAATATATTTCACTATTGGTGATGCTCACTAGTTCTGAGCACTGGTTTAAGATAGTCTGTCAAAACATTTCCATTTTAAAGTTAGAATCTTTCATTTTTTTAATTACTAAGCACTTTGAGAATATACAAATATTCCTCAAAGGAATATTTTGAGGATACAGAAATATCTTGTTTCTCATGCAAATGGCCAACAGGCATATGAAAAAAATGTTCAACATCATTTATCAGGGAAATGCAATTCAAAACCACAATGAAATACCACTCATACTTGTGAGAATGGCTGTATTAAAAAGAAAAAAAAACAGAAATAAATGCTGGTGAGACAGTGGTTTAAAAAAAGGGGGGCGGAGCCTCTTACAGTGCTGGTGGAAATGTAAACTGGTCCAGCCACTACGAAATGTTGTATGAAGGTTCCTCAAAAAACTAAAAATGGATCTTCCATATGACCTAGTGAGTCCATTCCTAGGAATCTACTCAAAGAATACAAAAATATTAATCCAAAAGGAAACCTTAACTCCTATGTTCACTGCAGCACAATTTACAATAACCAAGATACACAAACAACCTAAATGGCCCAAAACAGATGAATGGATCCAGAAAATCTGGTGCGTGTACACACGTACGTACACACACACACACAGTGGGATACTACTCAGCAATCAAAGATAAACTCATACCCTCTGCAGCCACATGGATGGAACTGGAAGGGATTATGCTAAGCAAATAAGTCAAAAAGAAAAAGATAAAATATCGGATGGTTATAGTTACATGTGGAATATGAAGAAACCAAACAAAGGGTCACAAAAAAGACAAAACTTGAGGGGGAAAGGGAAAGTAGTAGGAGGAGAACTATGGAGACTACACCTTAGGGAAGAAATCAAATAGTGTCCAAAAATTAACACCAATTTAAGAAAATAAATGGGAAATATATTTATCTTGTTTCTCATCACACTTTTAGGCATTCATTGACAGATATTAAGTGCAGCCATTATTACTGTAACTTTGCTCAACAGTGGTTTTATATTTCCATCATAATTCCTACATAATTAATTGGTGAAGATTCCTTTAAATATAAATTAATCACACCTCAAAAGCCAGCACCATATTAAAATATGACTTCCTCACTGAAAGTCAGGAATAAGACTTGGATACAGAAGTCACTTTCATCAAAAGATAGCAACATGTAAATACCAGAATAGAGGCATTTAAATTATAATTATTTTCAGATGATATACTATATATATCAGAATAGCCAAAAAGCTTCAAATGAAAAATTACTACAAATGAGAAGAATACTTTTGGGTGAATGCTCTCACCCTCCCGAGCACCTGGCCTGTACCCTGGTTCTTGTATAAATAAATAAACAAATAAATAAATAAATCTTTAAGAAAGAAAGAAAAGAATGAAGCACATTCATCTGACACAAAAAGATTTCTAAACTATATAGCTTAGATGAGAAAATGAAGGCAGAAAAAAAACATGTTAATAATAGGCTACAAATAGGGCCTCCCCAGTGATGCAGCGGCTGAGCGCTGGGTTGCGAGGCTGACCACAGTCTCTGCAGCGCTGGTTCGATCCCAGGCTGCTCCCAGGCCACCGGAGGAGGGACCCACATGGCGCGCAGACCTCTCCTGCCGCCCGCTGCTCCCCTCAGCAGTGTACTTCGGTCCTTCTGCCTGCTCTGCTCCCCGCTCTGGCGAATTCTCTAGCCCTCCTGCGCTTCTGACTGTACCCAGTGCTTGTATAAATAAATAAATCTTAAAAAAAAAATAATAAAAGAGTTGTCATTTAAAAAAAATAATAATAATAAGCTACAAATATAAAACCTAGAGCAACCTACATCTAAGACTGATACACAAGATACTAAACTGAAAAAGGTCACTGAAATATCTAAGGGAAGAGGGCAAAGGAAGAGTTTTTACTGCACACACTTTCAGACATCCTCCACACTGATCTAAGTGGTCAAAAACTGAGTTGCAACTAACTTAAGAGACCTGACCTTCACCTTAACATTACTTACATTTAGTCTTTCATTTTGATCTGTGTTTATTGCCACCAGTAACCATCCTTCTAAGAAGCTGTAGAATTAATTTTTGAAAGTAATTTCCAAAAAACCCCAAATATTTCACAAGCTTTTAAATTGAGTTTATACTGGGGAGCAGCATCCAGACAGGTGTTTTAAGTACTTCTCCACTGCTTTAAATATTATAAAATATGCCTTTCAAGGAAAAAATTGATGGCAGAAATTGGTACATACAAATGTGTGGCATGTTTGATATACTATATGTATGCATATCTATTATACCTAGAGAGCATGCATGGGGTCTACAGTATGTCACGTTAACCCTTTCTAATAGTTATTTGAAGCTGATCAACCTTCAAAACACAAATTTGTTTCCAATGACAGGGATCATAATCCAGGTCCAGGCATTGGCTAGTTATTATCTGAGCTGTAGTAATGGCTCTGCACTACAAAATGTAATCTTCCCGAATGTCACAGTAAGTTATGAATATCTGAGCAGCCTAATGCACTTTACTAGCCATGCAATGTGAAAATGTAATCTTATTACCTTTTTTATGGTTGTATTTTTTTGAATAATGTAGCTTGGAAACTGATGTATAGTCTTTTTCTGCATTTTAGTATGATTTGGTCTCCTTTGCTATATAGAACATTTTTCAAAACTCTCCATTTCAACATATTTTAGTCTTGGCCTGAACTTCATAAACAATTTTTATAGCTACCTTCAGGGTGGCATAACATGCTTTCTATAGGTTACAGTTTAATGCACAAGATTACAGAAATTTTAAGGCATACTATTCAAGAATTCAAATAAACCTTTACAAGTTTTATATTAGGACTTTAATTGGTCATGATTATTATTTTCTTCTCAATGTTTATATTAATAAAAGGCTTTAGTGGAAATGAATCACTAAACCTAAGTCACTTGTATTTTCAGAAAACCAAGAAACACATAATAACCAAAATTAATTATCCTCTCTTCAAAAGATTTATGAAACCAGAAAATGTGTAATACACAGAAAATTCTAATACATCAGTTTCCCCCCGAAATTTGCTTAGTTTTTCCTTAAAGATGTGTGTGGTGGGTAAAGTAGAACAAAAAAGCTAGACAGAGTTCATATTAGCTTATGAATCTAACTATCAATAGATATATCCTAATTCTTGTGACAAATTACCTTTTCCCTATACCTGTCTATTCATTTGTAAAATGAACTAACTAGAATAAGCTTCTTTTATTTAACTACATCCTTCAAAAATATATTTACTTTCTAAAAGTGCCAATCTCAAGGTTTCCAATTTATCCCCTAGAATCTATTCCTAAGTGAAGGTGGCCCTACACATGTTCAGATGCACCAGAAATTTATTAATAGGGAGAAGTTGGAGAAAATGACAATGCTGTAGCAAAGACTGTGCTATTTCCCAATGTACATTATTTTCTTTGCCATAATAATATAAAGAGCTAAGTTTGGTACATGGGACCAAAGCAAAGAATCTGATCTCCCAGCTTTCTCTCGAAGTTCCTTGAAAAGGTTACATCCATGGGACCAGTGA